CTAGAAGCAAATCGATAGAGAATTCCACATCTCTGTCTGGCGGCAATCCCGACAAATCATCAAGATATACATCAGGATAATGCCTGACCACACCAACTTCTTTTACACTGCTAGGAACAACATCATTTAACAACACATGTGCTAAGTATCCTTGGCAACCCTTCGATAATAACTTTCTTGCTCTTATGGCAGAAATAACGCCATGTCTCACCCCACTTCTTTCACCCACAAAAGTAACCTCGGGTAGTCCAGGGTGATAAAAAGTAACTGATTTCCCGTAACAATCAATATGGGCACGATGATAATGCAACCAATCTGCCTCGAGAATCACATCAAAATCCACAATATTTAATGGAATAAGATTAGCTGGCATAACTACGCCATCTACCATCACTGGACACCCAAGATACACACTATCAACATAACACTTGTCCCTTCTAGGCATGGCAAACTCTAAATCAAATCCTAGAGGTGAAGGGTGAGGTTGAGTCATTTAAGCAAACGTATGAGAAATCACAGAATGCGTAGCACCACAATCAATCAAAACTCTAGCAAAATGACCAAGAACATTTAACGTACCCATGATCAAATCTGGATGGTTCTAAGCATCTTGCAGTGATATGTGATTAACATGTCCCTGAGCTTGCTGTCGTCCACCATGACCTATGTTACGTCCCTGACCTGACTGATTAGACTGCCTGGATGATCCTGCACCACTAACAGCAACCTCTCCCTGACGGGGCTGACCTCCCTGATGCCACTGAGATCCACCAGCTGGCATGGAAGAATAAGAAGAATAACCCAGGGTCTTGGGAATACCTAGTCTGAGAATAAGGATCCTGGGAATACTGATACTGTCCGGAAGCATAGGGAGCAGCATCACCCTGATAGTGGTAAGCACTACCACGACCCGTCTGAACAAAACTGCCTAATCCAAAGTTCTGCTGAATCGGCGCTGGAGGTGGCATAGTGGTCTGCTGAGGTCTCTGCTTACTCTGGGGACACTGAGAAGCCCGATGTCCCATTTGTCCACAAGTATAACAAGCACCACCACTTTTCCTGCACTCACCATGATGATGGAAATTACAACGGCGGCACCACGGAGCACCAGAACCACCAGCACCACAGAAATCCCTCTATCTCTGAAACTTGGGTCCACCAGAAAATCTTCCACCACCTCTCCTCGGGCCAGTGATACTAAATCCTCCACTGGAAGAACTCGAACTCGCTCCACTTTTCTTAAAATTCTGCGTCTTACGGGGTCCCTGAGCTGAGATACCCTTACCCTTATCATCATTCTTCTGACTATCATTCTTGTCCTCGTCATCCTTACTGTCACTAGGAAGATTGTCGGAGTCCTTCATCCGAACCAAAATCTCGAAAAACTCATGATAATCGGTGCAGGGAAGTGCACTGGCAAAAGTCCGCCATTTCCTCTTAGTTCCCAACTTAAAACGTCGAAGCATCTCTACCTAATTACCAGCTGTATCAGGGTCATAACGAGACAAGTCAGTAAACTTCCTGTACTACTCATGCGCTGACATATTCTTTTGCTTCAATCGAGTAAACTCCTGCTTCTTGCGATCAATGTACTCCGGAGGGACAAATCTTTTCTTGAAATTCTCTTTGAATACTTCCCAATCCGCTGCCATCTCTGGGGACATAAACTGAGTTTGATTCCTCCACCAACCTGTCGGCTGTCGTCCCAAAAACCAAGTAGTGGTCTCAACCCACCTATTAGCAGAAAAGTTCCCTTGACTTTGCATCACCTGAAACGTCTTCTCAATATGGTCTAGCCACTTTTCTGCCCCCTCGTGACCCTCATTACCCATAAAGCGATCCAATTTCAGATTGTACATAGTCTCCAGGGGTGTCCTCTGAGGAGGGGGAGGAGGACGAATTGCATTCTAAAAAGCCTGGGCCATTGCTTCCCCTAATTGAGTGATATCAGGGAAATTAGGTTCAGAAGTACGGCGTGATTCCCTACAAGGCGGCATAATTCTGACAGAAAACATCAAAAGGTCATTAGAACATTAATAATTTATACAGGACTGCAACCTAGGCTCTGATACCAAACTAACACACCCCGATCCTAGAATCAAGGCGTGTTGGCCGTCACATGAGCGTGACGTAGCCAAAAGTGCGACACGGAAGCAAACGATATGAGAGATATGAAGGAATTTAAACCAAACACTAGCATACTAGAGTGAGTTATAAAGTAAAACACACAATTTCAGAGCGATGATACTAGGTGCAGTCAAGTAGGACTATAATTAAAAGTACAACACCCGCAGGTGAGTCCTACATGCAGGACGTCTGTCAGAACGCCGAAAAGAACCTCGTGAGCCACCAACTGCTAACTAGAACCTGGAGGGGCGCAAAACAAAGTTGAGTGGGTCAGTAAAACCAAAGATTTTCCAAAACATTTCATTTAAAACATTTATAACCCCTCTCTGTAAAACTTGTATACTTTTCCAGAAAATAACATACTAGCATAATATTTACTCAACTTGCTCAAAGCATCAATCTTATCAAAATCCAGTAGTTATGCCAAGCAATAATGTCAATGAATAAAATATGGATGCATCAATATGACAGGTGATATAATGAAATAACCGGAGACCCTACAGTGGTCCTATACAGCTAATTCTATAGCTCAATATCCCCCCCAGCCGAAGTCACCACAGTGACCTATACTGCCCTACTCTGCACGTCACTCGGAACTACGTAAGGTAGTCTGTACGATAGAAAGGTGTAAGAATACGCTCTAGTGCTTCTCTCATCAATCATCGGCGCGCATAAACTAAGGTCACCCACTAGTCGGAATCACCTTTAGCGATCTATACGACTAGCATGTCGGAACCCTCACATGGTCTGTACGACATTCACCTACTTGGATCCAAGGCGAGCGTGCGGTGCGGTGAATAATATAAGCACTAACACCAAGGGTGCAGGTTATGAGCTCTCAATGCAATTCACATAAAATAAATCGTATGAATAACGTGAAACTCACTTGTGCGTCCACAGCATCAATTCATATATATATATATGCATCAATTATCAATTCAAAAATCTCATAATATGCATGCATGGCATTTTAAAACGTATTTTCATATAAATTCATTTTCTGGGAAAATCAATAGTATATAGGTAATACGAAAACAAAACTGCCCACTCACTGGTAAGTCGATGGGTCGTAACCCCCGTGACGTCTCTGGATGCGCTCGTCCTCGGGATAGGTATCACCTATATGCGAAACAACTATAAAAACGTTAATTAAAACACATAACCAACAAGTCGAAATAACTTCTCATACGGTGCTCAATTTGGGTATGTGAATATACCACATCGACCTACTCGACGTCACGGACGTCGACAAATTTTTAGAAAAATTTTTGGGTTTGCCACGCGCCCCCACGCGCCATTGGTGGCACGGACCTACGCACCCCCACGCGCGCTTCTTCTTCCTCGCGTCGCCGGCACAGTGTCGCCGGCGCCGGAAACCTGCAACTCGACCTTTCTCACTCGTTTCTTCACCATTTTTCATGAAATTTTCACCTACGAGCTCTAAATTAAAAGGGGAAGGGATCTATACCTTCAAAACCCTTTAAAAACCTCTGAAATTTCGTCGGGAAAATCCTCCAATTCGGCCAACTTTGAACCCGACGATCCTGACGTCCAAAACCTTCAAACGAAGCACTCCGAACTTCCTTGGGACCTCATTAAGCTTACTATAAGCTTAGAATTTCCTGAAATGCAAGATTTTACGTGTGCATGAACAGTGCACATTTTCGGGGTTAGGGTTTCACGATGATTCTGAGGGTTTCACTTCCTAAAACTAGTACCATTCAACTCAGAACGTCAAAAGGATGAAGAACCATACCTTATTAGCTTCGATCCGTGATGTTTAGAGGGTCCTTGGGTGTGGTCCGTACAATTCGAGAGGGAGAGAGTGAGAGAGACCGTGAGGGAGGAGAGAGAGAGACACGGGGTGAGTGAGAGAGAAGGAAATGTGTGTGTGTTCCAACACAAATCCTCACCATCCAATTCTTTTCCTAATTCCCTAACCACACAAACAATTCAACATTTTTAAATCCCACTTAATAATTTTATAAAACTTAAGAAATAATTGTAAGTAGTCCCAAAAGACATGCCACACACACATACCTTAATACCCGTCAAGGGTGATTCCGTCATTTCACGTTCCCAATGAATATAATCCCGGAATGGACTATGACAATTTTGTAGTTGGTCAATTTTGGGTTTTAGGGATTTTGGATTTGGTAAATTAAATTAGCGATTTTGGTTTGGTAACTTGGTTTGCTAAATTTTCTCTTATATCAATTGTATGATTTCATTGTTGTCTAAAGTTCCCCCGCATTTGGGGGCCTAGTTCGTGCTCTGTTTTATTGTCCTTTTTTGATACGTCAAAGCCTACACATATCAAGTTTACATACAATGAATGGGAATCATAATCATTTTGATTCTTGAGTTCCATTGTCTACTAAAATATAGGTATGTAAATCATCTCACTTCTAAACTTTCCCTTGTGTTTACTTACACGCAAGGACTCGAAAAAGTGTTAGCTTCCCCTTAAAATCAATAATCAAATACCTAAAAGTCATGAATTAAATCAACTACAAGGGCTAATTGATCCAATTCCCTTCCCTTACGGGAACTTTAACGAAAAGCTCCCGGTACTGTTCACTTTAACGAAAAACTACATTTTTACACTAAAAAGTCAATCATGATACTATTCATTTTACCCTTTATTTTGTCCTTATCATTAAAACTCAAAGTTTTCAAGCCTTTTTCATTAGTTTTTCTTTTATTTAAACCACCCAACGTGTATTATCAGCTTAATTTGCATCTCGCCGCCATGCGACCTTGATATATTGTCGGCTTATACATTATTTTTTTATTAAAGTACCCTACACGGACACTCATGACTCAACAAATACATTGTTGTTCTTCTAGTCTTTGGCGCTCGAGTGTCTGCCGCAAATATTAACAATCGACAAAAATAGGTTTGTAGAATTCACGCGCTGTTTGTTATGCATCTCCAGTGGAAGCCCGGCGCTCCACTCCAAACCCCGCGCGTGGCGGAAGAGATTAAAGTGCATTCTCGTCGGCTGTCCGAATCGAAACCCCTAAAACACTGTCGTTTTCGTTTCACAGCTGAACTTCTCCACTCTCTCTCTCTCTCTCTCTCTCTCTCCCCCTCCCCTTGTTTGCAACGACGGCAGAAGTCGGAATCGAAAGAAAAGCAGATTTTTACTTGCTTATTTTTTAGAGAGTATTAGATCATCTCAACTGAGCAGGGTTTTCCGAGGTATCTATCTATCCATCTATCTATGTCCTCCTTTTTTGGTTTTTGCTGCCAAATTAATGCTGTTTTGAATATGATTTTGGATCTCATTGAACAAGTTGAGTTGCCTTTTGTTTTTCCTTTTTTTTTTTAGATCTAATTGTTTGTGTTGTGATGCTTACTCTGAACTTGGCCTTGGATATTCCTTTACTTTGATGAAGGGTGGACTGTTTCGAATGCCGACAAGCCAAGGGTTTAGCTTTAGAGTTTAGAGTTCATAGTTTAGTATTAGGTGGATTACCAATTTCCAGAGAGGCCTATGAGGCTAGGAGGTTTTAGATTCACTAGGTTAAAGACCGACTACTCGTCGAATATTCAAATGCCGGTTTACCAACCTAGAGAAAAGTGATTTGAGGAATTTTACAAACTTTTAAAGAGTCAAGTGATTGCTTTTTCCATCTTGGATTAGTGGCGGCTTTTTCGTTTCGGCCAGTTATTGTTAGAATTGAATACCTTAAAGTTGACGTGAGAGTCTTATGCCTGTGTTTTAGGGTTTAGGATTAAGCGTTGGGTGGTTTAAAAATCACTTCTAGAAAAGTGTAACCAAGATGCAAAATTTTAAAATGAATCAACAACAACAACATGGAGAAAGATATAGAGAAAGTAAGGAAAGGGAATTGGATCAACCCCCCCCCCCCCCCCCCCCCCCGCGGGGTAATTGATTTGTTTCCTGACTTTTAGATATTTGATTACGGATTTTAAAGTGGTAGCTAACACTTTTCCGATTCCTTGCGTGTAAGTAAACACAAGGGAAAGTTTAGAAGTGAAATGATTTACATACCTCTATTTTAGTAGACACTGGAACTCAAGAATCAAAATGATTCCAATTCCCATTCATTGTCTGTAAACATGCCCTTATATAGGAACTAGGTATTGGGATAGTATGGGTTTACGGTGGGTGTGGAATCAAATTCGTAAATGAAAAATGCATTGGTGGCATATGCTGCTGTTTATTTATAGTTCTTCATATAGCTTTATGATTACTCATGAAGATAATTGTTCTGACCCATTTTGAATTTGAATTGAGAGGAAACGGAGGGAGTAATTTTGGGAGCACTTGTAAACTGCTATGTTTTTGTTGGCAAGAACAAAATCGACCTGGGAGCACTTGTATCCTGCTATCTTTTTGTTAAAATCACAGAAGTCATCGTAGGCAATGCGATCTAGGAACTAATAGGACAATTTTAGAAAGAAATTGGGTGGAATAAAAGAGAGGAAAATGAAGCATGGGAGTAGGTTCTTTTGTCTCACTACGATATGTTTCGTGCATAAAATTATTTGATTGGGAGTCTTGGATATTCTTATTTTAGTGAAATCCACTCCTAAATCTTTATTTTTTATTTTTTTATTCATTTATTTATTTTTGAATCAGAGTCAATTATTTTCAGTTTAAAGGATTTAAACATGTGGACCTTTTTGTACTGAATAAGGAATTAAGCATTGGGTGGTTACTTGCTGTTGTAGTATTTTCTTTGATGTTATTATGTTTACTGTTTCTTTTTCTTATAAATGCCAAGCTAATATGTTAAAAAATGGTCTATTGGTGTAGTTATTTGATTCAGCTAAGAGATGAAGAGGTGACCCGCCCTGCTTTGTATAACATTAAGTTGTATCTGAACATGGATAAAGTGTCTTCTGACTGTCCATACCCAGGATGTTTCTTTTGTGTCATGAAGGAAGGGAACCCAAGTAAGCGAAGAGCCAGCATCCTGAAGTTCTTTAGAGAGCTTCCTGCACAGGATGACGATGGCCAGGTTCTTCCTATCAGTGGCCTTTGGAACACTGCCATGGCACATCCGAATGACCCTGAGTTCATCGAGCTTGGCATCTTTGAATGTATGGCTGCATTGATATGGAAGGGTCTAAAGAACCGTCGCTGGCTTTCTCATGATCAGAATATATACATTCCTTATTATGCTGCTCATATTATTGGATCATACACCATGAACATGGAAGAATTTGCTGCAAGTGCTGTTCATGCTGGGGTAATCCCTCCCTTAGTTGAGCTTTTGAGAGGAAGGTTAACTTGGGTTGAACAGAGAGTGGCAGTTCGAGCTTTAGGGCACTTGGCTACCTATGCCAGCACTTTTCCTGCCGTAGCAAGTCATGGCGAAATTCTTGAGCTTTCGATTCAACTAGCAATGAGCTCACTGGAAATAGTCTATTCTCATTTTTACCAGTATGTTGACAGAAGGTTAAGCTATCACTGCGATCTGCTCACCCGCGGTATGGGAGGTGTTGAAATGGAGTCCAGAAAGGCAGAAGAGTGGGCGAGTCAGTTACAGTGCTGGTCCCTCCAGCTTATTAACTGCTTTGCCTTTAAACCGGAGTTTCTTCCTACCATATGCAATCCTGAATTCTTAACGAAACTACCTGGCATGTGGGGTGGGCTTGTTAATGAAAACTCACCAGCTGGTATCGGTTTATTAAGGACAATTTGCCATCATAAGCTCGGTAGAGGACCAGTTGCTGGCTGTCCCAGTATCATCGAATCTTTGTGTAATATATCTCGGTCATCAGATGATTGGCAGTATATGACTATTGATTGCCTTCTGTGGTTGCTTCAAGACCCTAGTACCTGCCATAAGGTAATTGCATCACTAGTTTTTTACCTGCCATAAGGTAATTGCATCACTAGTTTTTTTTCATCTTTTGGTTTTTGTATTGTATGAACATGTTACATGTCATATAACTGATTTTCGATTAATGAGGTTTTCATTTAAACTGCACTGCATAAATTAACCTTTTTTTTTTTTTTTTTGTTTTGAATGATATCGCAATTTGTATATTATAACATAATTAGTGCTACTGAAATCATTAAATAGGTTGTTGATAAGGCCGTACCTGCACTTGTTGACCTTGCTGAGATTACAACTCTGGGTGATCACAAGAAACTAGGAGATTCCATTGTTAATGTTCTTGAGGAATGTGTCCAGTCCCAAGGGACAGGACGTAACTCTTTTAGTAACCGAACGAAAGAATTGATCGAGGAACTTTTGAATTCCAGACAGAGATTGAAATGGGAAAAGAATATGCCTAAAGAGGATCTCCATATTAAACAGGCTGCAGCACTAGTGGTCAAGCTTGAAGGAAATTCTCTGTTCTCATCAGGAAATATATCTGGAGCTGCATCAAAATACTCAGAAGCTCTGGCATTGTGTCCGATGAGATCCAAAAAGGAGAGGGTTGTTCTGTACAGTAACCGAGCTCAGTGTCATCTTCTGTTGCAACAGCCCTTGACAGCTATTAGTGATGCTACTCGTGCACTTTGTCTTCACAACCCACTGAACCGTCATGCCAAAAGTCTTTGGAGAAGAGCGCAGGCTTATGACATGCTTGGGTTTGCAAAAGAGAGTTTGCTAGATGCCATTCTGTTCATAAACGAGTGCTCTCAGTCAAATGATCCTGATCTCTCATTGAGGCAGAATAAAGTTCCAGACTATGCTGAACGATTGGTTAAAAAGCAGATGCGTGCAGCGTGGTTATTTAGAGAAGCAGCTATCAAACATGGGGGTGTCCATTGTGAGGGTGATGCTGGTGACGTCTTTGGCCGAGAGACTGATGATTCCGAATGGGAGACTGCAAGCGAGAGTGATATAGGAAATGATGGAAGAGATGAAATGGGAAATGAAGAGGAGGAGGAGGAGGATGATGATGATGATGATGATGATGATAGCGAATGGAAGAATAATGATGAGAGGAAAGAGAAATATGATAAGTCTTCAATTAAAGGTACCATTTAATGTGTTCAGTCGTGGCATTTGAGATTTTCATTCTTGGCACGTTTAAAGCATTTCAATGTTTTAGATGTTTTAGTGAAGAAATGGTGGAAAATAAGCAAAAAGCTATATTAATATTGCTCCACCATACACCTAAGAGTGTTTAGTCTAATGGTCAGGCCCTTGGTTTGTTACCAAGAGGTCTGGGGTTCGACACCTCTCAAGGTACCCACCTAGCAATTGCTAGAGTTTCTTGCCTACCAAATGTTGTGGGGTCAGGCGGGTGGCCTAGTGAGTAGTCGGGTCAAAGACCCGGAGACACTAGATTCAAAAAAAAAAAAAAAAATATTGCACCACCATACATGTTTATGTTATCAGTTCCTTCATTTCCTCTGATCCTGCTTGCTTCACCCTTCCAGTACCTGACCATCATTTCGTTGTAGCTTCCTTTATCCGTAAAGTAGCTTTTCATAGCTAATGTGATTGAACCACCTAATATTGTTTAGTGAATATATATTACCACCAAGCCCTCTCTTTTAAAACCAAGAAAAAAACAAAGGTTCTTGCGCACATGCACACATATATGTTAATCTCTCTCTTGTTCTCTCTCTTTCTGTTTACGTTGTCCTGTAAATTGCCCCCATCTACTTTTACATCATGTGGGAACCACATAATATGTGAAAATGTAAAAAGCTGAGTGAACAAAAATTTAAAATATAGGAAGTGAAGAAGTGTTCGATTTTGAATTATGACCTCTAACTGGCTTTCAATTGTGTGGACGGGCTTTATTAATCTTAGAACTAGTTCTCTCATTTGTATTTTAAAAATAAGTTAGAATTTTGAACCTTGATGTTCAAGCTTAAAGAATAATAAATTGATTAGCCTGATGTATACCATCTGACTTACTGATTGATTCAGTTTGCATACTCCTCCAAAAATCGGTGATGAATTTCCGGTAATCTTGTTTGTAGGTGGAATGGAACTGCCCAGAATGTTAAAGTTAAGTCTGAAATAAATTTTTAATCTTCAACGATTTTTTTTAAACAAATCTTTCTAAGACTGAAATAGATATTAGAAATTTTAATCTTTGATGTACATTGTGATAGAATTGTCTGGCATATTATGTATCATTAGCTGTAAACAATTCCATTGTTATAGTTTTCATATACTCATTCCAGCCAACAAAGAGAAAACAAAACAAAGTTTGCCGGCTCGACCCCTGCTTGGTGGTGAGCTTTTCCATGAGTTATTGCCAACCCTCATAACCGACAATCATATTCTTGTGCAAGTAGTATATCCATCATATAGGGCTACCGAGTTCGTCTTGTGTCCTAGAGATTTCTAATATCTAATCAACAAAAGCGGGCTTTCAGAGCTGTCATATGCATGACCATAATCTGACTTATTCTTGTGTTCCCAGTAGAAGAAACTTTGTATTATAAACTTTTAGAGTGATTATCACTTGTTCAAATACCATGCTTATGTAGCAATGACATAGATTACGAATTGCTGCATCTTATCACTTCTGACTTCATATTAGAGTAGGTTTAATGTAGATTACATTTATGTGTTTTGGCTGCCCATTCGCAGTTTTCTCTGTACACTAGTAGTCGATTATTCAGGCAAGCTTGAACTTGTTATTTAGAATTTTGGCTCATATAAAGTTGTTTGACATTGATGAAATTTATGTTTGGCTGCCTGTTCTCAGTTTTCTTTTGTTTTTGGTCCATTAATTAGCTAAGCTTTAAACCTGTAACTTAGTATTTTATGGTGTTAAAGCGTTCACCTAGCAGTCATATAGTTCTACCAGTTGATGATGCTATTGAGGTTTTTTTCAACTTTGAAGCTTTGTTGCCATCTTACCTTGATTCCTTGTCGTGTCTATCATGTATTTTCTTCCGTCAACCTTTTGTTTTTTCTTTTTAAGCTTTAGCTAAATGTACCAATGTTCAAGCCCGAGCCAATCCTTGCATTTTCATGGGGAAATATGAGATCATTGAACATCTAAACATTCTTCATTGGAACCTTGATTGTTACAGACCTAAAGCATGGATACAATGTGCAGCTTGCGGAAGATGAGCCATGAATTTGGATGTGGTTACCACCATTCAGACTAGAGCACGATGCAACGACAAGGACACAATGGAACCTTGGATGAATCTTTGATCCAAGTGATTGCATTTTCAGCACCACCTAGCCTTCCAGAAGTTTCGACCGTAATTTTCGTGAGGTGTTTGTCTTGTAAGAACCTTGGATGAATCTTTGATCCGAGTGATTGCATTTTTAGCACCACCTAGCCTTCCAGAAGTTTCAACCGTAATTTTCGTGAGGGATTTGTCTTTAAGAATGTTGAAGGAAACATGTTTTGGTCAATTTGTGTCAAATATTTAAGGTTGTTTGTGTTTATTTTGTTGTTGCTCTCAATTTTTTGTGTAAAAGTGTAGAAAATGTGATATTTTTTAGCATAGAGAGGAGGTGAGATGAGAAACTGTGGAGGTTTGAGTAATTTAAGAGGATTGCGTGTATACAACTTTTGGGGGGGTTTTGCTTAACTTTTGAGTGGCAATTGTGATTTTATTGTGCTATCTCCTTATCTTATCTCTACTATTGCGCCACTTCAGACTTGTCCTACCAACTATTATAAAGGTGATGTAATGTAATTCACTAAAATTGTGGTCTCCCTGACTAGATCCCGTAGTTTCTGACACGACACGAAAATGACACGAAAATAACGGGTTTCGAGTTAACACGATAACTAATCAAGTGACCTATTATGAACCTGTTAATAACGGGTTCTTAACAAGTATACACACGGATAACACGTGAATAACTCGTTTCGACCCGTTAAGAAAAAAATTATTTTGATAATTTTAAAGTTTAATTACTAAAAGATTTATTATAAAATACAATAGCCATATTAATATATACAATATATTCTATATTAAATATATAGTTTGTATTATTATTCTATATAAGTTAAAAGAAAAAGTTTTATTCATTATTTATTTTTATTATGAGAGTTCCTTATTATCATTACTAGGATAAATTTTACTTAACATGTTGTTGTCCAAAATTAAAATAAACTAGTATAGTATTTGTATAGGCAAGGATTAAGAAGACATACATACAAGTATGAAAAATATGAAAGAATATATAAACACTCATGATTCATCGTTATTCCTCCACGAGTAGATAATGGACACTTACATTATCGTTTAGATTTTTAAAATCCTCCACACCCTCATGAATAATGTTTTTTATTTGAGGGAAAAATTAATAAAATTAATAATAATTATTGTAGAAGTGTAAAAAATGTAAAAAATATATAAAATCACTCATAATGACAAGCTTTACAACTTTTATGAAGGGGTCAGCTTTGAAATCCAACACTATAATTCATAAACCTTAAATTTATATTTAACCGTCGATTGTCATTTACGCTTTATTTTTCTTACTAAATTTCATTTTTAAAATATTCTTTTTTGAAAACATCATCATCTGGCGGATATAAGAAGATGAACGGTTCAGATCTTTGATATCACGTTTCGATATTTAAGATTAACTAAAATATGAGTCGATGTCGAAGTTAAGTTTAATTGAAAACCATGAAGCGTAAATGTAAACAACAATCAACGGTTTAATTTTATGAGAACAAAATTTGAAAAACAAAATTTGAAAACAAAATTTGAAAAAACAAATTTTGATGAGAACAATGAAGCGTAAATGTAAACAACAATCAACGGTTTAATTTTGATCTATGATTTATATAATTATAGTGGCGAATTTCGAAGTTAAGTTCTTCATGAAAGTTGTAAAGCTTGTTATTACGAGCGTTTATATATATTTTTATATTTTTTACACTTCTACATTAATTAAAAAACTATTAAAGACTTTACTTAAATACATTTTTATTTTGGGAACTTTAATAAAAAGGGCTTGGACTAAGTTTATTTAACAAAAAACCATGCTATAAACTTTATTTAATGAAAAAAAATTAAATTTTAATGAAAAACCCTTAAATTTTAATAAAAATGACAAAAAAATTTAATTTTTAACGAAAAGGACACAATTTAAAAAAAACCAAAAAAAAAACAAAAAACCTGACGCGCGCGCAATACATGTACACTGTTTATTAAACTGAACACTGTTTATAAAACTAAACACTATTTATGAAACTGAACTATTTATGAAACTGAACGGTACTATATTATTTATTGGTTCAATTTTATAAATAATGTCTAGTTTTTTGTCCACTTTCATAAAATGATGTCTAGTTCTTGATCATGTTTCATAAATAATGCCTAGTTATTGGGTCCATTTTCATAAATAATGTATAGTAATTGGTACAATTTCATTAATAGTCTCTTTCTTAGTTTGGTTTCATAAATAGTGTCTAGTTATTGGTCCACTTTCGTAAATAGTGCCTATTTCTTGGTAATAATTCATAAATATTGTCTAGTTCTTACTCCAGTTTCATAAACAGTGTATAGTCCAGTGTTCAAATTATGCCTAATTCTTGTTTTCGTTTCATAAATAGTGTCTACTTATTGATCCAATTTCATAAATGATGTCTACTTATTGGTCTAATTTCATTAATAGTGTCTACTTATTAGTGAAGTTTTATAAATAGTGTTTAATTCTTGGTTCAGTTTCATAAGGTTTGAAACTTAGACTCTTATTGGTCAAGTTTTATAAATAGTGTTTAATTCTCAATAATTATATTTAAAAAGCTGTTTTCAATTACCAAATTAAAATTTCCTCACTTTTTTCATATACCTACAATAATAGATGTAGCTTTCCATCCAATTTCTTGAGCTTAGGTGTCATCTTCGAGAAAATTTTCCTTGTGCCCGTAACACAAATGATATACCACATGTTATTATATAAGTGTGGTGGAAAATTTTATTTTTTTAACACAAGATTCTCACAACTTGTATGGAGTGTACCATCCCGTGTTCTGGGCACATTGAAAAGTTTCTCATCATCATGACTACTATTAGAAAACAATACCACAAAAATAAAACAGGAGAATGTAATTCAATTCGAAGTTTTTATTTTATTTTTAATTCTATGCAAAAAAAAAAAAAAAAACTATTAATGTAGCTGAATGATGAGACAAAAGGTAGGAGAAAAAAAGTGGACTTAGGGGGGGGTATGCGCCCAGCACTAGTGGGTTTGTTATGTTTTTTTTTTTTTTTTTTAGTCTTTTGTCCTTATTATTAAAATAAAGTTAATGGGTGGTTTTTGATTAAAATGTAAAGATTTGAAGCCCTTTTTCATTAGTTTTCTTTTTTATTTTTTGGATGTGACAATATGGTATGTATATACTTATTTAATATTATGTTTTTCATTTGATTATTTATTGGTTTAAAATATATTTTCCTTAACGGGTAACAGGTCGGGTCATATTACCTGTTAATATTATCGAGTCGATTTCGGATCGGGTCATTTTATCCGTTTATTTTAACGGGTGTTACACGACACGATCCGTTAAGATATTGGGTATGACACGAAAATAACACGAACACAAAAAACACAACACGAATGCCAGGTCTATCCCTGACATTATCCTTTATGAAAACACTATACACTAGGATTGTTATATTAACTACAGTAAAGAAGGTATGAAACTATCCAAATCATAGTGAAACATGAAAGATGAAGAAGATGAAGGTCAGCGCCAGCTTTGTGTGTATGTTAAGGGGCATTAGATAAACCTATGCCTTCGCAAAAAGAAAAGCATAATTGTTTGTGATCAAATTAACATATGCCTTATGGGATTGATCAGACAAATTAATTGGATTATGTTTTGTATGTGACGCGTTTAACGTCAGCTCTACGTGTATGTATTACCAGAGTGCACATTATTACACTTAGTTTGTTCATGTAGCCACTTTCTATATGATTTGTATGTCTGCATATTTTGATGAGCATACGATATTACCTATTGATGAGATATTGTGATTTATCATACACTAGAAATATTTGATTTTTACGGTAATTGATTTTCATACTATTATGTATTATGATTTCGTGATGAGCATATTATTTACAGCTATTTAGACATTATGATTACCCGTATAACACTGAAATGACGGTTTTATGTTGATATTGGGTTTTCATACTATAGATATTATGATATTTTAGAAACTATACATTTTTTACAGCGAGTGATTAATATTTTACAAAAAACAAAGGTTTCTTATTAAACCTTTATTTTTGTCCACGCACAACTCTCTGTTTTATGCCTCTTCAAGTCTTAGCTGATTTACTTGGCGAGCAAAGGTTCTTTGGCAGTTTTGACATCCACACCAATCAATATAGGAATTTTAAATTCCTATATTTTCTTTTGTAGTATTATCCATCCTACCCACGATGAGAATATTCATACTGTTTTTGCACTTCCATATATACTTTGACATTACATTTATGTAATGTTGGTACACCCGCAATCAGCACTCTCACTAATAGTTTTATATCTTGTTTTAATTTATTCACATTTTACCCAACATTTCTATAATATGGCTTCATCACCTTCCAGATGTCAGCTAACACTCCTTTACACTGGATGTTCAATCGCGGTGTGTCATCCTTTTTTTTTTAGGTTAAGTCTCAGTGTGTCATCTTGGAAGTCCATTATCAAAAACTCAAACCATCAAAAACTAACTGTTTCTATCATTTTGACACATGAACGGAAAATTGCTAAAAAGAATTTGATAGAGTATAATTTGAGCCTCTTCCAATTGCTTTACTCACAACAACTTTATGTTTTCATCCTTTTTAAAATGTCTACTAAAGGCCACATCAAACTACATTATTATGGCTAGTCCAGTGTGAGGCTTAGCTTACTCCCCAATCCCTTAGTGTAGATAATATTGTTTGTTCAAAAAATGAAATGTCCATTATAGAGCTTTTATGTCTTATACATCAATAATGCTCTTACTATGATACATCCAAAGACAAGTTTATTCTACAAATAAAATTTTGGATTAAGTACCTAATACCCTTAAATATTTTAGTGTTGTTTGTA